ATCTATTAAAAATACTCACTTTTATGAACACAGCCACAGGGCTCTTGCCTGCAAGCTGGGGGCCCTCCTTTCTGGTGTCCTGCATAGGGCTGGCACTCAACACCCATTTGTGGAACTGAATATACTGAAGTAAGTGGTAGGAATAACCAGCAAACTCATGAATTATTAATTTCATGTCAACTAGTGGATTATTCCATTTCTCCTTTTCCACGAAAAAAAAATGTATCCTGAATTTTGGGTTTTGGAAAGTGAGTTTAGAAGTCCTCTGTTCCAGGATACTTCCCTGAACCAAAAATATTACATATTAATGATATGCAGAGACCATTATATAATGAAAATATACTTTGATTTCTGAAGATTTCTAATTCATACCAGGAATGTGAGCTTTGTTAACACTGGCCCATAATACCCTAAATACTTCACTTTTACTTTAAATGACATACAGAGTCTTATGTGAGTACATATACATGCTGTTATGGACTGAATGTTTGTGTCTCCCCCAAACTCATATGCTGAAGCTCTAATCCCCAATGTGTTGATATTTAGAGTTGGGGCCTTTGGGAGGTGAGTAGGTTTTATTTATTTCTTAATAATTAATTTTTAAATTCAATTAGCCAACATATAGTACATACTTAGTTTCAGATGCAGTGTTCACTCATGTATCAGGGCTCACCACATGGTAAGTCGGTTAGATTGGGTTATGAAGGTGGGACCCCATGACAGCATTTGTGCCCTTATAGGAAGAGGAAGAGACAGCAGAGTTCTTGTTCTCTATCCACACACATGCACCCAGGAAAAGCCACGTGAGGACACAGGGAGAAGAAGGCCACCTCTAAGACAGGAAGATGGTTCTCTACCAGAACACAACCATACTGGCACTCTGATCTCAGCCTTGCAGCCTCCAGAACTGTGAGAAATGAACTTCTGTTGCTTAAGCCACTCAGTCTGTAGCATTTTGCTTTGTTATAGCAGCTGAGCTAATACATATGCTCAAACACAAGAGGACAAAACTTGCTGAGGATATTGCCCACGGAAGTGAGCTGGCTATATCCTAGGACGGCTCAAAGTAAACTTGTTTACCACATGCTGGGACAGTGCTTTCCAGTCTTTTTTTTGGCCCAGTCACTCCTACTCTTGATAAATATAAAAGTTTTGCAGCCTACTTAATATGACTTGAAGTTAAAAACAAAATAAGTATCTTGACGGTTTCTGAGGGGAGGGAGTGGGGGATGGGTGAGCCCGGTGATGGGTATCGAGGAGGACCCGGATTGCACGGAGCACTGGGTGTTATACACCAACAATGAATCATGGAGCACTACCTCAAAAACTAATGATGTACAGTATGGTGACTAATGTAACATAAAAAAAATACATTAAAAAAAGTAAGTATCTTGACGGGAAGGAAACTAAAAGTGTGGGACAAAAAACCATACCATTTCCCAATCATCCTCCCCTCTGCTTCCTTAGCGATCATCCAAAATCTCCTTTCAGCTTTCCTGGCTTAGAAACCTGATTTCATCAGCACTTTGAAGTACAGCCATCCCTTGGGGGCAGACTCACATCACCAGAGCTCACAAGACTGATGTCAAACACCAGAAGGTCAATTCATGAGTTCCCCGTGAGCAATGTAAACATCACGGGCCAGGGGCCTCGCACAGAGGGTGCCGGCCCATGCTGCTCCTTTCGGGAGACCTCTGTGAAAACTCAACCAAAATTAGAAGGTTACGGTGAACATGGAATCAGGACAAGAAGCAAGAGATGAATCAAACATCTAAAGGCATCAGGCTCAGCCAGCCTGATGCGTCCATTTCCTCAGTGGGATGGTCTTGCCAATAAAGCCATACACGGTTGGCTATGGTTCCCTACATCCTCCCCCATTTCAGAAATGTCCTTGCCAGTTCAACTGCAGTACTCCAGGGTTTGGCCACGGCTTCTCTCTCCCCTGGACGGTGTTTGGATGGTCACTGCCAATATTTGCCTCTGTGGCCTTTTTTTTTTTTTTCTATACTACTTTGGGTAACCAATTGTTTAGGTAGTTTTAATACACTTAATCGGGTTATAAGGAAATCTTACTGTAAATATAGCTGTGCTATCATTTATGATCACTTTATATATCTTTGTGCAGTACCACAGGCTCATTTGAAAATTTAACCCTTGGAGGGAAATGTCATTTCTAAGTTCTTTGGTGGGGGGTGACCTGCTGTGTCACTCATACACATGACAGTGATGGTTTGTGTGTAAACGTGTAATTATCTACATATACAGTCACATCCCTCTATTTGTATGCTTTTCATTATTTGTTAGAACTTAACCCTTTGGGTGACAAAGCCTTCCCATATGCTTATATTTTTTCCTTAGTTTTTAACTGAACTGTAGAATAATGCAGTTTTGAACTAAAAGCGTTAGATTTAATTAAGATGGCAACTATTTGAAAATACTGCCAGCTCTGGGAAAAGCATTCAACAGGTAAGGTACAACAGACCTCCTTTACCCCAGGGCCAACAACGTCTATGCATGACACATGCCTTTCAAACAATGGAAATATTTATATCTAAGATATGTAAATTAAATGAGCAGCCTGACCTCAAAAAAAAAGTACTTGAAAGCCCTTTTAGAAATGTCTATCTGATTTGATCACCCTATAAATGCGGAGTGGAAAGCTTGAGTTATGTTCCCTTGAGAAGATCAATAATACTTGGTACAGAAAAGTCTTTCTGTCCAGTTGTTGCAGGAAGAGTTGGCTATGGGTCAAAGGGGATTGCAGCCTTCCCCTTAGCCCGTGTCTTAAATAGACTCGTTGTCATCTTGTGCTACTGTGCTGTATTCATTACTGATGGACAACTTGCTTGTATGAAGCTGGTATGTTAGCTAAGAGGGTGGCATTACATTTTCCCACAATATTTTCTTCCCTCAAATGCTTTTATGCCATAAAAGGCTTTTAAAACCATCTAGTCTGGGAAACTGAGATGACCTTCAGTATCATTTACCTCTTGGTAACACCTAATAGAAATCTATAGCCCCCCCCCCAACTTAACAACAGAACCTAGAAACTACCCTCTGCAGACAACAATACCAAGTTTGTTTGCTTTCAAAGCAGCCCAAGCCTAGGGCTACTTCATGGAGCAGCACTATCTTCTGACTAATGAGCTGTTTCCCCATGCCACTGGGGAGGGAACAGGACAGTCCTGGAACTCTGTGGCTGAACTCAGTGTGCAGCTCTTACACCCAACAGGTAGCAACCAACACACTTGGGCACCAGGAAGTGGGTGTTCATTTTAAACCAGAAAATAGTCTCTTCCTAGCAGAGGTCATTGCAAAGAGTTCCACTTTCTTAATAATATATGTATATGGTAAATGATTGAAATCTCATCCAGAGGTTTAGAAAGGAGGCACATGAAAAAAAACACCCATTATCACAGTTGTCGCCCTGGAGTTGAACTATTACAGAAGTCACTCTGAAAGCTCTATCACTCAGCAACCAGACGGGGTCCCTTTCTAGCGTTTCTCCTAAAAAAAGTCTTCTTAACCCCATCTTTTACTGTCTTCCTTCTTTGTAGAAAAAAAAAATCACCATGTCCTCCTTTCCTTCTAATTCCTCCATCCTTTATTACAGTCGTTTCTAGCTTTTGTATGGATCTTGCAATTCCGTCCACTTTGACCTGCCTTGTTCATTTGGTGGGTTCCAGGATTATTTACCTTACTGGAACCAAGCACAGCTGAACTCACATGTTGCGCAGGATGCTAGTTCTCCAGCTTGAGTTATAGAAACCAGTGTGGAAAAATTCCTTATCAAGAAAATATAAAGTTTGATATTTATAGAAATTTATAGAACATTCATTTTGATCTCTTCATCTAGAAATCTGTTCATCCCTCAATCACTGGGAAGATGTTGCTTCTAAAACAATGAAGAGGGTGGGACGCCTGGGTGGCTCAGTTGGTTAAGCAGCTGCCTTCGGCTCAGGTCATGATCCCAGCGTCCTGGGATCGAGTCCCACATCGGGCTCCTTGCTCATCAGGGAGCCTGCTTCTCCCTCTGCCTCTGCCTGCCATTCTGTCTGCCTGTGCTTGCTCTCTCTCCCTCTCTCTCTCTCTCTGACAAATAAATAAATAAATAAATCTTAAAACAAAACAAAACAAAACAATGAAGAGGGTGCCTGGCTGGCTCAGTGGGTTAAGCCTCTGCCTTCAGCTCAGGTCATAATCTCAGGGTCCTGGGATCGAGCCCCACATCGGGCTCTCTGCTCAGCAGGGAGCCTGCTTCCTCCTCTCTCTCTCTGTCAGCCTCTCTGCCTACTTGTGATCTCTCTCTGTCAAATAAATAAAATCTTAAAAAAAAAAAACCCAATGAAGAAACATATATAAAAAATAGTGGCTAGACTATTATAGAAAGGGATGGAAACAATGTACTAAGAAACCACGAGGCAGTCAGTTAAATATTTTAACCTATTGATATTTTATAACATTTGAGAGGTAGATGATCTGGATTGATTTTTTTTTTAATGAGGTTGTCATTTTAATTTATTCTACCATGACTTGGATTGTCCTGTTAATAACCACAGTCCTTTGAGCTTTAGTTCTGATCGATCAAAAAAAAAAAAATAGTCGTAGTAGTTATTGGTTCATGTGTTACTACAGCTAATGGTATGGTTACAGGTGCCTCTGAATTTGGGATGTTTGTTACACCACGTGCAATAGGCACTAACATGCTAACACCATTTCTTAGAATCAGAAACTTCTGGATTCCCATCTCCTTCACTGGTATCAGCTCAGAGTTTACTGCCAAGAGTCAGGAGGCAGGAAGGGAGAGAGACCCTGGGGACTAAGCCAAATCTCCAGCACTTAACACTCAGCCTTCAAACACTTAGGACTTTTTGTACCTACTTGTTTTGTAGTATTGCTGGTATCCACGAAGCACAGACCTTTAAGGAAAAAGGGGAAAAAAAAAAAAAAGGACCAGAGGCAGTACCCCTGCCTCTCCCATCTCGGGACAACAGTCTCACCTGGTTGGTAGAAGTCAGGTGACAGCTCCCTGGCCACCGCTCTTGCGATATCACACTCCTGGCGGGCGGCCTGGGCAGCCTGGTCGGCGGCGTCAGCTTTCGCTCTTGCGTGTGCGGTCCTACGGGGGCACAAAGGGCGAGTCAGCAAGGGCGGCACCTTGTTAATTACCCACCGACAAGCACGCTGTCTGCAGCCTGGGGCAGAGAAACACGACTGCGCTCATGGCCCCGTGCCTCTGCCTGCAAGTTTTGGGGTCCTAGTGCCGCGAGCTCTCTGAGGCCCACATGGACGGAGGCCCACCTGTATGTTGCCTCCGTCCTTCTTTCAAGGGAAATGAAAGGCAGAGCAAGTTCTGTGCAGCTTGATGCAAAGCCTGGTTTTCAAAACTTGCTGGGTCAGATCTCCTGCTGACTTTGGTTGGCAGCCTCCCCCGCAAACTGGGGAGACTAGAGTTAACAGCTTATGAATATGGTGTTCAAGAGTTTAATTTCTGTGGAAGGATCTATGTAAGAATATGATTAATAAGGGTCTGCCCAGTAGCAGGCTGAATAAAGTAACTCTGGAGAGAAAAGTAGTGAAACTCTTATCTGTAGCCTTGATCTCCATGGTTAAATACTCCCTCTATGACTGATTCAAGGGACCAGCATGACATCACTGTGTGGTTGGGAACAGATGGCCACAATGGGCTCTCGCCAGCCTGCAGAAGCCAAGTGCAGGGTCTGCACTTAGGAATGTGCTCAGGAGATTCTAAGGAGTCCACAGATGTCTTCCAGTCTTCCACCAGCCCCCGGCCCATCCTCACTCATGAAACTTCTCTTTCCAGACGACTAGGGTGAGGGAGGAGAATGGGGTTTCTTATGGCAAGACACGAGAACTGATGTCCACCCGCCCAAGAACAGAGGATTTATAGGGTAAGACAAAGAACTCTAGGTCATTCACTTCCAAAGAAGACCTTGCCCAGTTAGTATTTAGATGATAATAATGGGCGTCTACTTCTTATGATTTTGTTAACTTTCTATGCTCTTTCACTAGCACCAGGCAGGGCTACAGATACCTAGTAGTAAAAGCTCGATGAAGGTTTGAAAGAGGTGCTTACACTTATTTCAGAAACAGCAGGAGAGGAAAAGTTGGGAAATAAGGTTGTGCCCTAGCAGTTCTTAAAGGGGGAGAAAAGGCAGGTGGCAGCTGGAGGAGGCTGGCAGACCGAATTCCTGGGACTAGCTGCTGGAAGGAAGCAGGGAAGATGGGGTCTGACCTGAGATTGGGGTCGGGGGCTAACTGCCTAACTGGCAGGAGGTCCCGTTTCCAAATTCTCCAACTACCTCCTCTCTTTCTGTGTCTTTATGGGACACCTCTCTCCTCCTTAGGACCTAGCCAACACTGGGGGCTGGGTGCACTAGAATGTAAGATTCAGGAAGATTGGCCCTCTGCTATATTCCCAATGTGTAGGACATTGCCTGGCTCCCGGGATTTATTGAGGGCTCATTTTATGAATAAAGGAATGAATGATGCGTCCTTAAGAACAGCTGGTTAGTTACTTAAAAACAAACAGACTGACAAAACGATAGAGCTAGTAAAAAGATTGGGGGTTGCAAAGGGTTTGGGGTCAAAGTGGCGGAAGGATGAATATAGGTGGAGCCCGGGAGAAACTTGGAACAGCGAGACTACTCTATATGACACTGTAATGGGGGCTCAATGATATTGTGTATATATCAAAACCCACTAGACAGTACCACACACAGAGTGAGCCCATTAGTCAACCATGGACTTTAGCTAATACTGATGTAGTAATCCTGGCTCATTAATTGTAACAAAAGTACCCACTAGTGCAAGATTTTCATTATAGGGGAAATTGTGTGGGTGTGGGGAGAAGAGGGAATGACTCTGTACTTTCTGCTCAATTTTTCTGTATATTTAAAACTACTCTAAAAAATGAAGTCCATTAATGAAAAATTAATGGATCGATTTTCCAATCATCAAAATTGTTATTTCTGAATCACAGAGGATGTTTCAGATTATAAGATATCATGAAATGGAACTAAAACCAAGAGGGTAAGACCATATTCCCGAATAACGGGCTCCCTTGTGAGAGCCATCACTGGTGATGGGGGACACTTCAGTCCCTGTGGTGTGCCTGAGAACCAATGGATGCTCTCTGTTATGTTCTTTCACAGTTTCTCAGAATCTCAACTCTTTTTTCCCAGAATGATCTTCCATTTTATCTGCTATTTTTAGATAGAGCCTAATTATGTCTAGGCATCAAAATTAATGAAGCCAGAGAGTACAGTTATGCTGCCTTATAATAAAATCTGCTAGTCCTTCCGTGATAAATTTATAAAACCAAGTACAAACAGTTTATTCTGTTAAAATGACAACACACCACCACATCCTCAAATAAGATGCTATCATTTATCTCTACCGCTTTTTACAATAACTGGAGAATAAACAAATACAGCTTAATCTTTCTGCAAATATATTCTGGAAACACAGTGTCAGTCAAGCCATAACCCCTGTACTCTTTTACTTGTTCTTTCCTGTGAGACCCAACAGGGAGGGGGGAACCTTTCCATCTTGTGCCCCTCCCTGTGTCAATGCTCCTACGCAGCTGGCAAGATGAGTCAAAACCACATTCAAACCCTAAGACAAGAGGTCTGCACGAGAGCTTCTGGTAGCCCTAGACCCAATGGCAGGAAGTAGAAGAGAACAGGAACCCATCTGAGTTGGCTGTCGCCACCAGCTCTGTGTGGCCAGGCCACTGATAGGTCTGGATTTTGCCTGGGGGGAAAATCTGGGCTTAACTCTGGCTCCTATTAGTGAATTCCTGTGTTCAAATCCCTGGCTCAGCTCCAGAGCAACCCACGACCCCTGTATTCGGCCAAGTGGCAAGACATGCCTTTGTTCATGGGTTGGGGTGTGTGTGTGTGTGGGGGGGGGTTCGGGCTGGTCAGTCTGGGGAGGACAGCTGCAACAATGCAAACCGGATACCCTGCTGCTGTAGCTGGTCACGTGGAAAACACACACACACACACACAAAGTAGGAACATGCACGCCCAAGAAGCCTCTCACATATTCAACACACTGCTGATATCCACGAGTGATCAGACCCTCATGAATCTCCAAATATCATTATCACATACACTTTCTCCCACAAAATGCAGTAAAAAGTAAGTAAACAGCAACATCAGCTGTCAACTTTCTGTCAGGGCCATATATGTATTTATATATTTATTTTCCCCCCAAATAAACCCAAGTTTTAGCTTGTAGAGAGTTACTATGTATGGGTGAAGAGGCAGGGAGACCTGAGCAGCTGGCTAAGCTCACACAAGCAGCTGGGTGAGTCCCCCCGCCGGACATAAGTCCTACGAAGGTCACTTGCAAACAGCCAGAGCAGTAAATGTGGAATTTCTGGGTGTAAGGCATTCCCTGTACACAAGAACTTAATTTCAACCTATTTTTCCAATCAGTAATTTGATGATGAACGCCTAAAATTATTCTTTAATAACTGAAATAGTTTTTCATGAACTCTCAAGTCATCTTACTCAGAAATAAAATAGTCTGGCTTTTCTGATTTTTCTTTTTTCCTTTAAAGATTTTATTTATTTATTTGAGAGAGAGAGTGAGAGCATGAGAGGGGAGAAGGTCATAGGGAGAAGCAGGCTCTCTGCAGAGCTGGGAGCCGGATGTGGGACTCGATCCCAGGACTCTGGGATCATGACCTGAGCCGAAGGCAGTCGCCCAACTGACTGAGCCACCCAGGCGCCCCTGAGTTTTCTTAAACTTCGTAATGCTTTTACAAAAACGTCTATCGACAATATATTGAATATGCCTGGCATATACTCCTGCTAAAGTAACAAGCTGGCTCTTAGCTGTCTGTCGCAACTTCCAACTTCAATCATTTTTTTAAAAGATTTTATTTAATTGAGAGAGAGCAAGTGAGCAAGCAAGGGGGGTGGGGAGCAGAGCAAGAGGGACAAGTAGACTTCCTGCTGAGTAAGGAGCCTGAAGCAGGGCTAAATCTCAGATCATGACCTGAGCCAAAATCAAGACTTGGACACTTAACCCACTCAACCACCCAGGGCGCTCCTAACTTCAATCTTCTACTCATCTGTCCACTGACGTAGCTGATGAAGATTTTAATTTAGAATGGACAATATATCTGTTAATGGTAAAACTGTATATGATATTTACAGATTTTGCTATTTCTGCCTTTTTATATGTTTTCTTCCCAACAATTAACTGCTTTTAAAAAAATGTGGATTTTGATGTCTTTTTAAATTTGTTATATTAAATCAAAGTCAGTTTACTGGCACAATTTAAAATCTGACAGCAGAGCTGATGATCTATTTGGTTAGGAGGCTATACACCTGATTTGCTTTGATGTCCAAATACTTAAAGAAGATTATTAGGAAAATTTAAAAATAAGCTCAATTGTGCATAAGAATACAAATCTCTGGTGATGGCAACGTCATTTTCCAGTTCCTCAGGCCTACACCCTTCAAGTCATCCTTGATATCCCCCTTTCTGTCACATACCACATCCACAGTCAGCAAATCCAGTTGGCATTACCTCAAAAACCAATCCTTAATCCAGCCAGTTCTTGTTATTGTTGCCGTGTCTGCCCTGATCATGCTGCCACCACCTCTCATCGTGTTCTTGCAAAGGCAGAACTGACCTCCCTGCTTCTAGCGTCTGTTGACCATTCTGTTTCCCTTTTGGGTCTCCTGAAAATGCCTGACAATAGCTAACATTCCTTCCTGGGTTAAGGCATCATGATAAGAAAATGCAAAAAAAACAAAAAACAAAAAAAACAAACAAAAAAAAACACGACCTCTTAGTCTTCTGAAATAAGAAAATGCCAAAAAACAAAAACAACAACAAAAAAACCAGTTAGCCTTCCTTTCTGACTGTGACCTTATTCGTTTATGAGAGACCCAGATTTGTGAAAGCCAATCACCTCGTGCATACAGTTGCCCTTTTAAAAAAGAAATCAGTCTGTGAAGCAAGGAGTACTCTTGACAGGACCAAGAGAGGAGTGGCTGCACAGATCTCGGCTAAAGAACAAACATGATTTTGAGTTCCTGCACCCGGAAGAAACTGTTCTTTCTATCTTGATCTGGT